GTACTTGTCAAATGTATATTCTCGGTAAATACAAGTTAAATAAACGAGTGGTGGGATAAAATTATGGCCGAGGTAAAAAAAATAAAAATTTAAAAATACAGGTTTAATAGATATTAATAAAAAAAATAATAATGTAATTTACAAAATAAAATAATTAAAAGAAATAAACTGGATTGCCACAAAATCCGATTTTTTTTAATATGCTAACTCATACCTAATAAATTCATTATTTTATTTAAAAACAAAAAATTAAGATAGAATTTTAACATGTTATACTTATCACAATTAAAAAATATAATTGTATCAAAGTATTTATAAAAAAAAACATAATAAATTTGTTGAAATTAAATTTAACTTAATAATATTAGTTATATTAATACATCAATGAATTAAATTATTAATTTACTTAATTTAAATATTATAAGTTGTTCGTTATTAATTCGTAATATATTATCATTAAAATAGTAAATTCTACGCTCTTAATGATATTTTAAATCATTATTTTTAAATAGAATACAATAATATATTAAATAATTTAATTAATGCATAGTTAAATTAATTTTTTTTTGAGTGAAAATTCATACATATTAACTATTTGATGCATAAATAGTAATCACAATATAATATAATATAATAACAAAAACATATAAATATAGTTTAACTCAGATTCATTAAAGTTTATGTTAAAATAAATTTATTATAAAAATACATAACTTCAATTTTGATGATGAATGCAATTGAATTTAGTATGCTAATTTTATTTAGTTTTTTTAAAATATATTTTTAATAGAATTATAATTTAAGTAAAACTCTTTACTAAATTTATAAGAAATTGTGATTTCAAATCAAGTTGTATTATAATCTCTCATTATCTGTGTATATGCATAATAAAATTCATGAATATATAAATTTATACTCCAAAAAAATTAATTAATTGATGGAAGATGTACAATAAGCCAAAATTGATGTATATAATAATAAAAAAAAATAATGCTATTCTATAAATTAATAAATTTGATTAATTTACTTTTTTTCCACTACTTATATAATCTACAAACTAATGGAGAAATGTTAATGCCATAACGCTTACTCAGAAAGCTATGCATACATATTATACATATAAAGAAGTACATATATAGATATGTACATACATATATGTATATATATAAGCGTGCATATATGAGAAGTGGAGGTAGGAATTAAGGAGAAAAATCGTTGTCAAGGCAATAACAGAAGAGAAGAGGTGATGGATGACGAACAACTATCGGATCAAGAAATGGAGGACGGTCTAACCACCGCTTGTCAACTTCAACTAACAAAATTTCAGTGAAGTGGACGCGAAGAAACTCATCTTATCCCCATGATTTTGTTTTATTACACCTATTAACGAAGCTCCGCCAAATTACTCACTAACGAACCTCATCGATATATTTTTCCCTTATACTTGCAATATATACATATATATATATATAAATGCGTGCATACCGTCATAGTTTGCAGAGAGCTTTGAATTAAAAGCTGGAGATCCGCATTTCATCGTGTTTCGATCGTCGTTTCTGGTAGAAATTAGAAAGTTTAAGTGCGAGGAATTTACAGTAGGTGAAATGATGAAGAGAGAAGATGATGAAGGTGGGGTGCGAAAGGTGGGACGGGCGGAGATCGACACGAGAGCACCGTTCCGGTCGGTTAAAGAAGCTGTGGCGTTGTTCGGGGAGAAAGTTTTGGTCGGAGAGATTTATGCTCCGTGCAAGCTCAAAGCGGTTGTTTCTCATCTAACTTCATACATATATGTATACATATATATATATATATATATATCCATATATAATCCTTTCTGGTACTTTTTCTGTGTGTGCTTTCTTCGCTCGTTATCTCCCACTAATATTTGAACCAGAAACTTTAAAATTATGAGGTTTTATTTTAAGAAAAATCTGAATTTATAGTGCTCGGAAGACTGTTTTCCAGTCATTTTTCTCCTTCATTGTCATTTGATTAGTAAAATACGACAAATGTTACTTTCAGTTAATTGTCAGCATTAACTTTTTAGCTATATATATATACACGTGTGTGTTAAAAATTATTTTAATTTATAAATAAAATTCATACATTTAATATAAATATTAATAATAACATAATATTTTTACAATAATAAACATAAATAAATATTCAAACTCATAATATATAAAAATAGTATTTTTATTGCATATGGGTGATTAATTTTACTTGATGGTTAATTAGATTGGAGGTGGAGCGAATGAGAAGCAACATGTTCAAACTAAAATAGGAGCATTAACGGCGGAGCTTCAAGAAACAAAGCAAAGTCTTGAAAAAGCGAGAGAAGAAAGCAGCTTATTATCATTTTGCATCAAGACCCTCAACGAAGAACTCGAGCAAACAAAGAAAGAGCTCCGGCAATTGAAAGGAAAAAATGGTAATGACCACGATCAATTTTATAAACAACCATTTATCCGTGAAGAACTTAAATTTGTCGAGAATACGACGAAACTGGAGATGATAGAAGAAGATGAAGACACAGAGAGTAATGAATTTCAAAAAAAAAGGTACGTGACATTTGCTAGTCCTCCTTCGCTTACTCGAATTATGGTTGGCAAATCAGAGGAATTAAAATCTTTCCATCATGTTAAGAAACCAAAGAAGGTGAGACCATTGGTGCCATTAATAGGTTGGCTTTTCTCCAGAAACAAGGGAAAACAAGAAGCTAATTAATTACTCTACCAAGTTGGCTAAGTGTTTTAGCACTCTACGTGCATGTATCTTATGATCAAGGTAACAACACTTTGTTGAATAATCAGATTTTATTGTTTTAAACTTTTTTTTTTTATATATATATTTTCTATTTTATTTGTCTCAATTTTGTAATTTGAATTTGAAAAATGAATGTGACTCTATAATTTGAATTTTTTGTACCAAACTATTTGATGTACATGTTAAAATTCAACGAAAAAATAAAAATAAAAATAAATTTAAAATAGATAAGAAAAAAATTTATATTAATGTATAAATAGATTATAATAAAAACTATATATACAAATTCTTACTGATATTTAATCGTCATCTTAACTAATAAATATAATTTTATATACATTTTATTAATTTTATAAATAATAAATAATTTAAATTAAATAATAATTTTAATAAAAAGATAAATATATATCAGTGTACGCGTGTTGGACACTCATTGGATAGGAGGATCAACACAAAAACCGACATTAACAAAAGACAACAAAAGTTTGCAAACCGACAGTGAATCAAGTTCAAAGCATGGTGAAGGGATTGACTACCATGAACTGTTGTAAACAAGCTTCGTGATCTCTGTCACGTACCATCCCTTTAATATTTTTAATTTTTAAAATTATTTTCGATAAAAAAGAACAAAATAAAATTATATACCACATAAAAATATAGAATTCCTTTTCAAGTGCATTAAAAATAATATTTTATTTAATTTTTATATTAAGAAGAGTCGGCTGAATTGATTAATATTGTCATTGTGAAACATGGAGTTGAAAAGCATTAAAAACATGACCAAGCACATGTAACCATGTGAAAACCTTACCAGTGAAGACAAAATACTAGACATGCATGCTTCGCTCGCTCATCTTCCCTTCTGCCTGGTCAGAATCAGCCATTGATATAAATCCACACACATTCATACATACATACATACATACATACACACATATACATATAAATATACGTGTGCATAAACATATACACACAACCATGCAAGTATTTCAGTTATTTGTCTTTCTCCGTATGTATATGTACATACACATATTATACGTATAAATATTAACCCAATAAACCTCTTGTTTAAAGAAAAATAATCTAGTGTGTGTATACATATATTGTGATTAGTGTTGACTTAAAAACTACTGATTCTTTCTCCAGCACTTCCAGCAAATTCTCTGACACGCCGTGATTATTAAACTAGCCAATTCCTTGGCTGCCCATGAAAACTACATATAAATATATATATATTAATATATTAATTATACGTATTTATACGTCTACATATAAAAATATATATGTGAGTATATAAAAGTTGTCTCCTACTATAGCCTATATAGATTCGCGTATATATGGAGAACAAGAGACACAAGAACCAAACCTAAACGCAGAAGAGAAGAAGAGATCACGGCACCCAGAAGACCAAGATTATGAAGACCAGCATACTATGTATGCCTCGGCTTAGAGCAGCCGCCGCCACCACCAGAGCCGCCAACAAAAGCAGTCGCGGCGGCGTCTCACCCATCAGCGCCCTCCTGGAACGTTTCCGCGAAAGCCGTTTTCAGGTTAATCA